TCGGCTACAGAACCATGTATTTTAAAATGTGATCTTCAGTCTTTATTACTGGAATGACAGAAGTCATTTTGTTATCCTTAAATCTTTTCAATGTTAGTCTTAAGAAAATAGTGCTGTCTCTGCTATACGATTATATATTACGTCTGAATTAACTTGTATGCTCTTACAATGAACAGTTAAAATATGCCTGATCTTAACATGCAACTCGTATTTCACCTGCTAACACATCTTAGAATTCCCTACTTTGACTGAGCAATCGTTCTGCTTTTGTAACACTTGACGCCACTTCCCAGGCTTAAGTGTAAAATAGGCGGCGAATACCTCGGATTTCATGTTTAATCTGAAAAACCGGTTGTCACTTCGAGCGTAGCGGGCAAGCTCCCTCACCGTTCCGTGGCTTTACTGTGGCCCCGCCGGCAGATGGTAGGCCGAAAGTCGGTGATGCGATAACGCTGTACCGGAATCGCGCTTTTTAACGCTGAGATTTTTAGTGTAATCGTCAACTATTATTATATGGTTATAATAATCATTATATCTATTATACATAGACACATAAAGACTCGTCGGTTGAGCAGTCTGTTTGCATATCTGTTAAAGACAACGATCTAGTGAGTACTCATGGCTTTGGTTTAAAACTGACCATAAATCCTGTTTATAAAAAAATGCTCAATTAATTACAGCTACTACGGACGTAACAGCTTGAGCACGAGGATTTCATCAACAATTAAATTCCAACAAAGGGAAACTCAAATCGAGAGCCACCATCCCCGTGGTTAGGTAAATTACCGTCTTTGTGAACAGATCTGATTTTCGCGAACTGTTCTGCTCCACGGTACCCAGTTCCAGATAATTTCCCCCTCTGCTAATCCAGAAAAGTTAAACTTTATTGAAAATGACAACTATGAAAACGGTTCTTGAAAGCCTCTGTCGAATTTATTACCTTTCTTTAAGAGTTAATCCGTTTATATAGGACATGTGTATATATAACATTTAAATTTGAAATGATTGTATTTTAAAAAGTACTTGTACTAGAGGAATTCGGTTCAACCAAAGGCACGCTGAGAATAATACGTGTTTATTCAAGCACAGGCGGCAGAAACACTTTGAATCCAGAGGGGCACATTCTACATTTTTAATTGATTTCTCAAAAAGAAAGAAAGATCCGACTTAAATCAAACCATCAAGAATGTAACCCGCCTTTACTGACTTTGTCATATTTTTAATGTTATATATTTCAATTTTAAAAGATGGGCACTTTACGAATTTGATAAAAAAAAAAGTGGGGGGAACGTGTCTTCCTGATTTCTTTGCCCATCTATTCAGCATGGTTTAGACATAGTACAGGGTGTTTGAAAGACTACCACATCGTGCGTTTTGTCATTTTTAATCAGACGCTTATACCTAAATGACGCTAGGATATTATCAACTCTAGATAGTGTTTAAACAATACTCTGTACACCAAAACAAATTTTATTCAAATCGTCAATCTCGGACTGCTACAAAAGAGAGAGAGAAGAAGAAAAAAATGCTATTTTGTGAGAAAAGCAATTTAAGCATACAATATTATATGATTTTGAAAAACGTTATCATGTCCAGCCCTTGTGAATAAAACTTATGTTTATCAATGCGCCTCTGTATAATCACCCTGTACAATTAAAAGTATTTAAAGGCTACAATGATACTGACTATTATACAATATTATATTGAACAATATATAAACAGAAAAATGTAGTTTATCCTAACTGTATTGTTGTATCCCAGCTGACCTAAAGAACTCGAGACTGAGCGAAACGCGTCGTACGCATAGTGCGGTTGAAATACTATTATTATAATACTCTCTTCTAACTCCTGAAAATCCCTCAAGGGAGTGTTTAAAAGTGTAATAATAATAACGTCTTATGACAAGTAACAACAATGTTTTGATCTCAGAATGAACATTGTTTATAACGTAATTATTGTTAAGTGTAACAGCCAACAAGTACGCGAACATGACAGAAACGTAGTCCCGTCATTACCAGGAGAATATCAAACACCAGAAGACTCTGAACAGATTAAACCAATATAAGACTGCCGTTTTAGTTCTTGACAAAAGTAAATATTACACTTTCATTAATGTCCCCCTGTGGCACAGCGGTAATTCTGAAGGCTTATCACACTTAAAACCGGGTTTCGATACCCTTGGTGGGCACACCATAAATACCCCATTGTCTAGTTTTATGCCTAACTATAAACAAAAATTTCAATGAAAAAATTAGCTCTGTAATAAATAAGTTTCAACACTTTTTTATATATTTAAATTTTTTTTTCGGCCCGGCATGGCCAGGTGGTTAGGGCGCTCGACTCGCAATCTGAGGGTCGTGGGTTCGAATCCCCGTCCCATCAAACATGCTCGCCCTTTCAGCCGTGGGGGCGTTATAATGTGACAGTCAATCCAATTATTCGTTGGTAAAAGTGTAGCCCAAGTGTTAGCTGGTGGGTGGTGATGACTAGCTGCCTTCCCTCTAGTCTTACACTGCTAAATTAGGGACGGCTAGCGCAGATAGCCCTCGTGTAGCTTTGCGCGAAATTCAAAACAAACAAACATTTTTTTTTATTTCATGATGTTTCATAAGGTGATTTACATGAAATAAAAAAGTTACCCGATGATTACACTGTCGACCATAGCAACGTGCAGTACAAAGAGTGTTAAAAAATAATCACGAGCACATTCCTAACCCTAATCACTGGTGGGAACAGTACGCCATTAATCTTTGCGAAAAAAATATGTTTTTTAAACAAAAAATAATCATGCGATAACATTTTGAAATCTACGTTAAATAAAGAAGTAACATTTTGAAACGTACAACGAAGAATTAATTCATTTACGGTTGTTTAATCAGTTCCCAAGCGAATCTCCAAGAATGTCAGACTTACCGTTTTACGCCAAGCCCCAGTAACCAAGGCGGAAAGATCACTTGTGTGTATTATTTCATAATTTGTACATGTAATCATGGTTGTTAATGGGAAGCCTAAGGCTTACAGGTTCGCAATTTTTCTCCCATATAATATTTTCCAGAGACAGAAATAGACACAGTCCGCCTGAAGCATTTTAAAAATTCAGCAGAATGGGTGGGTAGAAATTTGTGCTGAAACTATATATATGTCACGTTAATGGCAGAACTTATGGGTAGAAATTTGTGCTGAAACTATATATATGTCACGTTAATGGCAGAACTTATGGGTAGAAATTTGTGCTGAAACTATATATATGTCACGTTAATGGCAGAACTTATGGGTAGAAATTTGTGCTGAAACTATATATATGTCACGTTAATGGCAGAACTTACTTTTTAACCGCTCTTGCACATACACAAACAAAAGTTCGACATATCTATCAACCATTCACAAACTATTAAATGAAAATTGTAACTAAATCTTCACTTTTAATACAAAAACACCCATTTTTGGCCGTTTTCACCAAAAATTAATGAAGAACAAGGATATTCACACAAAGGCTACCTGTGCTAGCGATCCCCAATTTTGAAGCGATGGATTAGAGGGGGTGGGGGACAGCACCCACCGCCAATTCTTCGACGACTCTAATCAATTGGTGGATCTTACCGTCACTCTTATAATATATACACGGCTCCAAAATGAGAGGGGTGATTTTGGGGCAACGAGACACAAACCATTACACTTGGATTCCCACTGGGGCACGCCCGGCCCGAGATACAGAATCACCTTGTATATATACACACACATATATATAATATAGACACGCAAGTAATAATTGCATTGTCAATATCCCTCGTTTAAACCCTTGCTGAGAATGTGCAAAGACACCGAAGTATCATTGTTCATTCCGTGTAAATGAAATAGCAGGGCCTTGCGTGATGAATTAGGATATCTTGAAACACTATTCACATAATTGATACTTGATGAAACAGGATACACACTGGTCGACAAACTCGAACTGTTTTCTCTCATCAAAGATGTAAACACACTAGACCAGTTTTACACGCTGATTCCAATTATGTTTTCGGTTTTCTTCAAGCACATCTAGTTATCGAAATATGACTGGTGTTAACTTCTGCACAATTTAGGTAATAATCACACATTAGGCTAGTTAACGTTACAACTTTATTCATTTGTCAGTATAATTCCCATAAATGTTATACACACCATAAACTTGGTTAAATTTATACAGTACACACTTATGAAAAAAGAAATCAAAAAATTATAATCAAGGCAATAACCTTTCAGATTTGATCGGTCTCGTCACGAAAACTTGACGAGCTGGAGGAAAAACCAAAAACAGATTTGGAATCAGCGTCCCATGGGCTATCTAGCCCACTTATAATTGTATCTGATGAAAGTAACTTGTTGGCCAGTGGCGGCGGTAAGGGGGTTTTGGTGGAGCTGAAACTAGCCTAAAATGTGCCTTAGTCCTCCTTGTAGACCCCTCACTCAACGAAAAGTGCTTACTGTTAAAGCTGGTTCACTTCCTAAGTAATACAGTATACGTGCCTACAAGATGTGGGGTGCAACCCCTCACAGGGAAGAGGCTGGCGCCGCCTGTGAGTATAACTTTATACGTATAAATTAATCATTTACTGTTTAAATGCTGTCACTGTGATCCAGACTTAGAATGCACGACGTTTAGACGTAACTTTGAAAGTGAAATATCTTGTCAGTGAAATGTATTTTTCTCATGTGTACTTCTCAGTCAAATGGATAAACGCGACAATGTCATTAATACGCTTTCATTCGTAACTGATCCGATAACAATAAAGATCATATTGGAATATTTCACCAGCATAAAAAGTTATCGAGCATCCCACATTCAAATTTGTTCACTTTTATAACGTTAACGGCATTCATTTCGTAACCGTAGCAACTGTTAAGCTACTAGTGTATGATATTAAATACGTGAATTGTTGAATAATCATTGAGCTTACTTGCACTTATACTTGTATATATATTGTCCAAAACATAACGTAAACACTTCATTATCTTTACAGGCTTTCCTGGCGACAGGAATCAATTTACCCCTGGTGTTCAACCCGTGCACTAAGGGCTACGGTGAAGGTTGCGACTTTGAAAGGGAAAAAGGAAAGGTAAAAGACCAACATTTTAGCCGTTGTAAAGTATAATTTAATCCTATATATATATTCTCTTTGATCGAAACGTTAAGCACGTCTTCTCTCTGTTATATTGTGTTTCTTGATAATTTCCAGCACTTCGAAACCAACTGTACAGGTTAGATATGGTTTACCATACAGCTGGATAAAACGTTGCCATATTCGGTCTATATGGTTAGTGTTGTACCATTATAACAATGGGAAATATTAGGTGTTTAAAGCCGAAGAACGAGTCCGGTTTGAAACAAATTTCGGTTAGTGAAATTTAAAATCAGTTTTTTAACTTATGACGTTCACAAAACGTCTGGTAATTTAATAAGAGCAGTTATCTAAAGTTGTTTGTTGTCTCGTTGACAAGTTAAAAAATAAATTCATATCTTATCACCTTTATGTTAATCATAAATACTTACAAACACTATATATTTTATGCTTTAAAGGCCGTATATTTGTGACGATTTTATGATTTAACTTTTATTGAGATCGAACGTAAAACCCACCTGTGTAGTTCTATTACGCACATTATCTTATAAGTAGACTCTCACGGCCTTAGCAACCGGCTCGGGTTATCATGGTACTGAACACAACCTGTTGCTACCGAACACCATTACTAGATCACGTGCGCCTACCTCTTTCTTTTGGAACAGGTGCTAATGGGTGAACTTTTAACCTTGCTAGCTAGGGTGTCAGCATGCTCATTCTGTTTACCAGATGTCCGCAGTGTTCCCGGTGTAGTAGCCACGACTAGCCGCCGGCAATAGGCTCTCCTTTACACGGGAAATGCCGCTTACTATCGCCGTCTGTGTTCCACTAAACACCCGGTGAGAAGATGTCGGAAGATCGGTCAGATGAGATAATAATAAATTAAAGAAAGACTTCCAGTTCCGGCGACTTTTAAGTTTCTCAAGCTATACAGATTTAGTGCGTTGATATAGTAATAAATTATGTTACTTTAATAATTTACAGACCGGATAAGTATTTCCTATTGTTGGGTCAACAGTATCTACTGTGATGAGACAATAGGCATTGTTGCTTAGCAATATAACAGATACCTTGTTACCATAGCACCTCACAACGTTTCGTGTTGAATAAAAACGTGCATGTTAACAATTTCATTATTGCAAATATTGTTAATTGTTATTTAACTGTATATCTTTTGAGCTATTTATTTGACTGTGGATTTATCTCTTGTTGGCTTTCTTACTGATTTGTTTATCTTCACGTTAAATGAATTTCAATATATTATATGGACTATCTGAACACGCCAGACTTTTTTAAGTTGTTTTTTTTCTTCTTCCTCTTCTGTGTGTGTGTGAGACAGAGAAAAATTTAATTGTTTTATATACTTCGTAAGTCACTAAATTGTCGAATGTGACAACCAAGCGATACATGGATTTATCAAGAATTTCTGGTAAACTTTACGAACGCAAGTCAGTTTTTGAATTGATTTCAACGACCCCTTGCGTGCGTGTTTAAAAACAACACCATTGTTTGCTTTCTGAAAATGAGACCGATACCTTCTCGATGTCTGATAAATATCAAGTACAGAGAACTGTATTCAGTGTTGCGTGTTCGAGTGTTGTAATTCTGGAATTTTTTTTAATGTTCGTTGAATGATTTTCAGTTTAGTTTTGTGCCCTAACCATTAGGCTATACCAGGTCACGCGGAGGGGGAGTTAAAGAGGCGATTTTAATTAGCATATAACTCACGGTGGGGTATCATGTATTTAAAAAATAAAATTTAATCGATTTTTTTTCTTTTATATCAAAATATCAGTTTTGATTTATTTGCCTCATATACTTAAACGTCTGAGCTTTACTAGTGTACATTTTTTATCTTGACCTTTTGACACCTACAAAATGTTTAACTCCAGGTGTCAAAGCTTGTTTCGAAATGGATATATTTTCCTTTTTGAGATATCGCTTGAACAAACTAACAAAGCTATATCCCTCCCATACCCACGCCCCCCAGTGGCACAGCGGTATGTCTGCGGACTTACAACGCTAGAATCCGGGTTTCGATACCCTTGGTGGGCAGATCATAGATAGCCCATCGTGTAGCTTTGTGCTTAATTACAAACAAACCCACACCACGAGGCAGCCATGTTTGTACGTGATAAACCTAAAATACTTGATTTACACATGCTTGTAAAATGTTTATTATAAGAAAACCTTAACGATGAGATATCGAGCCAGGTGTAGTTTAGTGGTTAGAGAATCCACGGTTTGTGTCCTGTTACCGCATACAAATCCAAGAGTTGGCGGTGGGTGTTGTTGACTAGATCTTTCCCCCATAGCCTGTTCATTTGAAATTAGGGACGGCTATAGCAGGTAATGTATTTTTTGTAGCTTTGTATAAATGTCCGAAACAAACAAACAACGAGATACTTAGATAACAACGGGTAATTCGTTCATCGACAGTTTAGTGATTTTAATCGCTACCTGAAAAACCTTCCCACACCGAAGACTGATTAAGATATGTTATTTAAAAAAAAATTCGCGCTGTTTCGATCGCTTCCAACGTTCAAAATTCAGATAAGTTAGTAGGCTTAAAGCGCGTGTCTAAACGAAGGTTTATTTTATTGCGATGTTTCGGTCAAACGCCATTGGTTACACGCTAAATATTGCACGATGAATATATAACGTCTGCTCGAAATGCCGCAGGAGAAATAAATAGAGGTGTATTAACAACATTTTTATTTATCTGAATTGTTTCTTGTCCTACTGAAAAATATTTACTCAAAAAAAAAAAAATTAAGAGTTGTAACGTTTCAGTATAGGAACTAAAATAACTCAAACATTTTGTGCTAATCAATCGATCCCCCTCTCATTTTTTTACCATAGTATACATTGCGATCGTACAAGTTTTATTATAATTATTATTTACTGAAAAACATTTACTCAAAAAATAAATAATTAAGAGTTGTAACGTTTCAGTATAGGAACTAAAATGACTCAAACATTTTGTGCTAATCAATCGATCCCCTCTCATTTTTTTACCATAGTATACATTGCGATCGTACAAGTTTTATTATAATTATTATTTACTCTTTTCAAAATACGTGGGCCAGGTGGATAAGGCGACGCTCGACTCCCAATCTGAGGGTCGCGGGTTCGAATCCCCCGTCCCACCATAAAAGACCCCGATGGGACAGCGGTAAGTTTACGGACTTACGACGCTAAAGGCATGGCCAGGTGGTTAGGGTGCCGTGGGAGCGTTATAAAGTGACGGTCAATCCCACTATTCGTTGGTAAAAAGAGTAGCCCAAGAGTTGGCGGTGGCTGGTGATGACTAGCTGCCTTCCCTCTAGTCTTACGCTGCTAAATTAGGGACGGCTAGCGCAGATAGCCCTCGTGTAGCTTTACGCGAAATTCAAAAACAAACAAACAAAATACGTAAGTGTGCTAATTTCGGCTTTACATCTGTATCAGAGGTCTCAACTGCTGGCAACATCTGGCAATAAACATATATATATATATATATATACCTATCTGGAAATAAATGTCGTTTGTTTACAGAAAGCTGTTTTGTTACGCTTCACGTATACTACAACACAGTCCGCGAAACAAAATACATAAAACGGTTAATTGTATACGAAGTGACAGTTTTGTGGAGTTCTGGGGGGGGGGGACAATTGTTTTGTAGGATATTCCAATTATGGAAGGACTTCTGAATATTCGCACAAAGCAACGAATCTGCGATATCGGTCCCAAATTTTGAACCGCTAAACTAAAGGACAACTAACAAACAGCACTTATTGTCAACTTTTAATAGAATAGTGAGATTTGATGGTCACTCTTATAACGCACCTAAGACGTGAATTTTTTTGCGGCAACGGGGCGCGAACCATGGATCTTCAAGTTCACATTCCGGCGCGCTGACCACGACCAATATTTGAGCGCGCTTTAAATCACCTGGGTTGTAATAAGCAAACAATTCAAGGCTGTTTTAAATCACGTTAACAAATATATATATATTTGTTGTTGTTAGTTAACACGTTTTTATTTTGGGCAATTTTCATCATTGTGAATAGGTAAGTCTGATGTTAGTAAAACCGATCCGTTTTTGACAGAGGTTTCTCAAGCCAACTGGAAAAGTTAAAAATAAATACTTTAATAAAACACCGTGTGGCTATAATGAGAAAACAAAGTTTAGAATAACTGCTGTTGAGTAGAACTTACTCGAGATGACGGGTGATCATAGAAAATCGTTTTGGGGTACCTGGTTTAGAAATGGGGGTAAATATAAAAACGCAACGATACAGGATTATCAATACGAATAATGTATAAAGTGGTCAGTGGTTGGGAGTTAGGGACGGCGCAAAGCTACCTGGACTACGCACTGACGAACGTGCTGCAATAATACTCCACGATTGGAGAAAGAATATATATTTATTTGTTTATTTCCCGTTGTATTACCGGTTTCAGATTGTCTCGTTATGGTCCAAGTCCTCTCGTTTAAGTATCGGTTTCAAACCACAGTGTTACACACCAAGTCATTCGATGTAGTACTGGCTTGAAATCACTGTGTTACAGACCAAGTCATCCCGTTTCAGTACGTTTCAAACCATAGTGTTACAGACCAAGTCCTCCCGTTGTAGTACTGGTTTCAAACCATAGTGTTACAGACCAAGTCCTCCCGTTTCAGTATTTGTTTCAAACCACTGTGTTACAGACCAAGCCCTCTCGTTGCAGTACTGGTTTCAAACCATTGTGTTACGACCAGGTCATCCCGTTATAGTATTTGTTTCAAACCACTGTGTTACAGACCAAGCCCTCTCGTTGCAGTACTGGTTTAAAACCATTGTGTTACGACCAGGTCATTCCGTTATAGTAAAGGTTTCAAACCATAGTGTTACAGACCAAGCCCTCTCGTTGCAGTACTGGTTTCAAACCATTGTGTTACGACCAGGTCATTCCGTTATAGTAAAGGTTTCAAATTGTGGTATTACGGATCAAACTCCCCCCATTCGTAGAAT